CTCCTGCTGGGCCTTTCCATTCCCCACTGGTGACCTCTGGCAACCACTCACCTGTTCTCCCTCCATACAGTTTTGCCCCCGAGAACGTCATAGAAATAGAACCTGGCCGTATCTAACCTTTGGAGACTGGCTGCTTTCACTCCGCCTGAGGCCTTTGTGATTCATCCGAGGCGCTGTGTATCAATAGTTCCTTCCTTTTATCGTGCAGGGGTAGACACACGCTGAGAATTGCTTCCTTTCTTTTCACCATGCCAGATGGACACAAACAGACTCCACAAGGTCTTGGCCTAGAAATCCCTTTCCCTGGGGAAGCTGGTGGCCCCCATACTTTACCTCAGCTGCCCTTCCTCTCAGTCCCCCACAGGCCTTCCAACAAGAAGAGGCTCCGAGGGGCACCTGGTGGCTCAGTCGGTTAAACATCTGACTTCGGCTCAGGTCACGATCCCACGGTTTGTGTGCTCGAGCCCTGCGTCGGGCTCTGGGCTGACATCTTGGAGCCTGGAGCCTGCTTCGGATTCTGGGTCTCCCTCTCTGTCTGCTCCTCCCCCCGCTCACGCTCTGTCTGTCTCTCAAAAGTAAATAAACATTGGAAGGAAGATTTTTTAAAAAATTAAAAAAAAAAAAAAAAAAAAAAAAGGAGGGGCTCCAAGTCTAACCGTATGGTTTGAGGGAGAGAAAAACCCTTGGTCCCCTCCGTGATGGTAAATGGAAGACACCAAGGGGCTGACAGCTGGTGTCTGGGGGACAGCACTGATCCCGGATCCCTGCGTGGTCCATGACTTGCCATTTGCAGTCATCTGGCCAGGCAACGTCAGGGCAACCTGTTTTCCTGACACACACACCCCCACCCCGTCCAACGTACTAGTCACAGGACGGAAAAGGCTGGAGCCCGTGAGTAGGAAGAAGAATTTCAGAGGGCGAGGGAGAGGTTGAGCAGAAGAGACGGACTGCTTGTGGCCTGAATAACATCTTTCTTTGCACTGTTTTCCTCCTCCAGATTGGTTTGGGGGCCCGGCCCAGCTGCCGCCTTGGCTCCTGCTCAGAATTCTGGTCTATGCGCACGTCCTTTCTCAGCACTGTTAGAGAACAGAAGTGACCCTGGCCTCCGAGTTGTCCTAGGAACGTCTTTTTTGCCTTTTGTGTGTCCTTCTGTCCATTCCTGGGTATCCCAGGGCTGGGTCTTAGGGCAAACGCACATTAAGGAGAGACAGGGAGGGAGGGAAGGAGGGGGAGAAGGAGAGAGTTTGAACCTCCTTGCTTCGTAAGAGCAAAGTCTGGCGGCCAGGCCTCAGGGTCTTTCTGACCCGCCTCGGGCCCCGAGGGGACCCTTGGTGGCAGTGGCATTAACAAGTGGCTTAGTTCTGCCGTTCACTGTGGGGCTAGTGAACTTCGGTTCAGGGAGAACGGGCTTGTTCTGGGTCACAGGGCAAAGTGAGCCATGGGGTTGGGCTCTGGCCAGCTGGCCTGGGTGGTCCGGCTGCTGCTGTCATTTTCACTTCCTCTGGAAGTCCCACGCACCTGACCTCAGAGGCTGCTGCCATATGTGTGTGTGTTTCCCCAGGGGATTGTGGTTCATGGCTCTTCTGAGCAGTAGGTCAGCCTGGGTAAGACGACAGGGTTAGAGCTTTCCGACCGGTAATGGAAACAAGGCCAACACCCAGAAACACGAAAGCATTGACATCAGACAAGTGAGTTAGAAAACACGTCCCGTCCCCTAGATGTGGCAACAGGGCATTCGAACGGCTTCACGGGTTCTAATCCTGGCTGTGAGTGTTGTCTGCTACTGGCCCACAGAGCAATTCTCCGGCAATCCGGAGAATTGCCTTGGTGGACAGGAGCCATCTAGTCATGACACCCTGTTGCGGGCGATTTGCCGCAAAGACTTTATGACACAGGGCTACAAAATCCCATCCCCTTGTGTCAAGGTGGAACAGCCCTGTGGTGCCACTGACTCCAGAATTCCCAGAGGATCTGGCTGTGGTCAGACCTCAGCTGAAAACAGCCTTGCCTGGCCTCTCCATCTGCCCCTTCCTGCTTCCCCTCTTTTTTCTTTCTCTTTCTTTCTTTCTTTCTTTCTTTCTTTCTTTCTTTCTTTCTTTTTTTAGAGAGAGACAGAGAGACAGAATGTAAGGAGGAGAGGGGCAGAGAGAGAGGGAGACACAGAATCCGAAGTAGGCTCCAGGCTCTGAGCTGTCAGCCCAGAGCCCGACGCGGGGCTTGAACCCACGAATCTCGAGATCGTGACCTGAGCCAAAATCGGATGCTTAACCGACGGAACCACCCAGGTGCCCCCTGCTTCCCCTCTCTGACCGGCTGTCATCCTGAGAGCTCTCCCTTCCCGTGCCCTGTGCACAAAAACCTCTGTCTCAGATTCCGCGTCTAAGGAACTCAACCAAACTAGCAAGTGGGACCAGCACGAGGCAAAGTTAAGGGGACCTCGTTTGCCAGAAGAGCTCGGAGCTTGTGGACAGACCAACCGGAAGGAAATCCTTCAACCTGTTCCCAGCTGGGTAACTGACATTTAAAGTTCAGCAGGTTAGGGGCACCTGGGTGGCTCAGTCGGTTAAGCGTCCGACTTCGGCTCAGGTCACGATCTCGCTGTCCGTGAGTTCGAGCCCCGAGTCGGGCTCTGTGCTGACGGCTCAGAGCCCGGAGCCTGCTTCCGATTCTGTGTCTCCCTCTCTCTCTGGCCCTCCCCCCATTCATGCCCTGTCTCTCTCTGTCTCAAAACATAAATAAACATTAAAAAAGTAAATAAATAAGAAATAAAGTTCAGCAGGTCAAAGGGGCCCACCCCACTTTCTCCAGCATGGGGCTCCCGGGTTCCAGCGTCACACAGAGAAAAATTGCCCTCTGCCTGACCCCTGGTGAAGGCACTCAAAGGGACAGGGTCCGTGGGGTGTCTCTTTCTTCACATGATCAGCCCCTCAGGAGGCACACGAGGAGGAAAGCCGATGGAAAGGAAAAGGTATCTCCTCCCTGCATCTCCGCGCTTCTCCAAACCACCTTCTTCCTTTCTCCATCACCCCCAAGACCACCCACCACTTCTGCAGCTGCCGCCCAAACACCCACCAGGTGCCAGGCACCCCTCCAGGCACCGGGATACGGCGATGATCACCACGGAGCTGCCTGGCTCCCCGAGAGTTCGCGTTCCTGTCAGTGGAGGCTGGAAAAGGGACGTAAGTCTATTAAACAGAAATAATATTGACTACTGTAAGGAAGAAACAGCAGTTATTTAGAGAGAGACTGAGTCCTAGGGGGATAGGCCACTTTGGATAGGGGTCAGAGAAGGCCTCTAGGAGCTGACCCTTGAGCACAGCCATCAGCACCAAGAGGCCAGTCCAGCAAAGATTTGGGGCAAGGGCATCCAGGCAGAGGGAGCAGCATGTCCTGAGGGACATCAAATATGTCCAGACTGGGAGATCCAGGGAGATCTCTGGGGAGCCTCTCGAGATTGTTTTCCCTTCCGTCTGGTTCCTCGCAGGGATCGTGAGGAAAGCAAGAACTCGCCTATATCTGCCTGACCTTCGTACACGTTCACATCGAGGCTCATCGTGACAAGGGAGAGAGCTCTTTGCTGGGGTAGCCTCTCCTCTTCCGGACGGCGAGCTAGGTCCTTGAGAAGGACAGAGGACAGCCTCGTGTTCTCTTTTCAGGGCCTCAGGGAGCACTGGTACAGACTGCTAGCTCCCGCGTGCCGGGGGTAGGGGGTGACAAAGCTTCCTGACCGCGCGCGATGCTCCCTCTCACTTCCCTCTGGATGCAAATGCCTTGGAAACTGACCAACCAAGACGGTCCTTTTTGGCAACGTGGGCCCCACATGCTGCTTAGAGCCCCGCGAGCAGGGGCCTTGCGCTCTTCTCCCAGGAGATGCGGAGCCGGGCAAGGTTACCGGTTAACGTCCCAGCAGGCTCCCTGCTGAGGCCTTCTCCCCCGGGCATCCTCACCCAGTGGCTCAGCTCAGCCCCAAAGCTGGCTTCCTTCCTCCAGCCTCCGAGCCGTCTGGGCACCGGCGTGGCTCACGACGGTCTAGTATACTTACTTGGTCAGGAAGACGTCCGAGGGCCTCAGTGATAGGTCAGATGATTCGACCCCTATCCCAAGGCACAGGCTTGCTTTTGCCATTTCAGGGAGGTCCTGGAGGGTTTCTCTTTCGGGCCCTTCAAAAGCCATTCTCCACCAGCCACTGTGGGCAACACAAAGAGAGACCCAGACCCTGCCCGAGGGAGACGACTCCTTCTGCCTCTGCCCTGACCACCACTCTGGCAGGGAGGAGAGTGAGAGGCTGGGGAGGGGACCGACAGAGAGGAGGCGGGAAGGCAGGCCAGATGGGGCAAAGGCAAAGGAAATGGGTGGCCAGTCTGAAGACAGACGGACAGAGTCGGGGGTGGGCAGGCATCAGAGCCGGGGGTACTCAGAGGACGTGGGTGTGACTCCCCAGGGGCTGAGGAACGGGCAGAGGTCACTTCATTCAAAGAAGGCACGGCTCAGTTCTGAGGCAGCCCAGCAGAGAAAGGGGGGTACCTCTCGTGGTGGGCGCCCCCACCCCACCCATGCCGAGCCTCCAGAAGAGCCGGTCCTGGATCTGGACGAGGCCAGCATGTGGGGCAGACTGGATTAGAGCCACACAACCTGGGCAACTCCTCCCTCTGCACGCAGCTGAGGGTCAGGACATGCTCCCTTGGGATCCCCGGCTTCCTACGAAGCTAAGTCCTAACAGAGCTGGGGTCCACACCTGCCACCCTTCTCCACCTAAACTGACACAGCCAACACCGAGAGGGACACCGTGACTTCTAGGCTCCCTTTAACTCTTAAACAACGTCTGATTCTACGAGACTGGGGCGTCAGGGTCACCTCAGGGTAATAAGGGAGGTACAGGGGTCAGAGCGGCTAAGCTGTGAGTGGCTGTTTGGTGGGGGGGGGGGCAGTGTTTGCAAAATCCGGGCCACATGAACAATAATAATATGGTGGGATACTTGACTGTAAGTCGCATTCCACAGGGTCGGTCCTCTCAGTGACGCTGTCCGGCGAGCAGAGCTGGTACGACATCATTCAGGTGTCCCTCCAGAGAGGCGAGCAGGACGGGCCTCCACTTCCTGTGCCCGTCACCCTGCCCGCGACCTTCAGGGTCTCCCTTTTAGGTGCTGGAAGGAAGCTGAGAGCTGCAATCCTCCCAAAAGACCCCTCCAGACTCACTCACAGCACTCGCTGGAGGCAGACCCGCCAAAAATCAATCGGCAGATTGATTTGCAAATTGAATCGATTTCCCTCTCCAACTCATCGATATTTACTTAACTTCTACTTCATAGAGCAAAATCAATTCAGCTTATTCCCTCCTGGAGCGCCCAAGCTAGAAATGATCTCTCCCCCCTCTAAACTTCAAGCCTGTCTTGCAGAAAGACGACTTATCACATCATTAAAGGCTGGTCCCAGCCATCCCTCTCCCCCATCTGCTCCGCCTCCCCGAGCTTGTGTTTCTAGCCAGGAGAGTTTGGGCAAGAGACCTCGCTTCCCCAAGGCCGAAGTGTTGACCGTTGCTCAGACAACAAGGCCCAAGCCTCTTTTTCTGATGCTTTTAGCCCTTTGAACTTGTGCTCTCACCAACCCCAGAGCAGCGGGAAGTGTTCTTCCGGACGGCAGAATGCAAAAATCCAGAAATGGCCCCGGTTGCCTGTGGAGAGCTTGCGTGAGATAAAGGCAGGGTCAGGAATCTGGGGTGGGGGGAAAGAACGGGTGATTTCAGTTAGTGCTCGGGTAACTGGAGAGCCCTGGGGAACCAGGAACAATTGGAGGTGTTCCTGTCCTTTACCAGAATACCTTCCAAAGGGATTGGCCATTTAAGTATAAAAGGACACCATCCAAGCACAAGGGGGCAATCGGGAAATTCTTCTATAACTTGGGAGCGAGCAAAGCTTTCTTAATCCTGACTCAACACCCAGAAGCGATACAAGGGAAGATTAATACGTTGCAAGGAATTGAAGTTTGGCGTGGCAAAAAAAGTTAAATTAGATTGAAATAAATACGGAAGTAAAATGAAAAAGACAAATGATCAACTAGTTAAAAAAAAAAAAAAAAGATTCACAACTTGCATCACAGAGAACGCGTTAATCTTCTTAGCGTAGAAAGAGCCCCTCGTGTAAGTTAAAAGCCCAGCCACCGGGGAGAAAAATGTACTAAAAATATAACCGGCTTTCGGAAGAGGCAAGGCAAGTGTTTCCAAACCACAGGGAAAGATGGTCAACCTCACTTAGTGAAAGAAATGCAAATTGCCCCAAGGGAACTATTGCTGGCTGATCGGGCTGGCCAAAATCCAAAAGTTGAACAAAATCCTCTTTTGTCCCGGCCTGAGAAAACAAATAGTCTCACACTTTGCCGATGTGAATGCGAAATGGGACTGTCCCCTACGGAAGGGAGTTTGCCAGTACCTAATAAAACTGCATGATCCGTTGATCCTGCAATCCCACTTCTAGGAATCTATCCTACGGATCCACTGCAAATAATACAAAAAGACGGAGGGATGTGGCTGTTGGTTGCAGCTCTGTTTTTAATAACCAATAAACAAGAGTACATCCACACAGCAGAGTACTCCGGAGCCGTAGGAAGAATGAGGAAGTTTCCCCCAAAAGATTAAAAACAGAATTATCGTTTGAAAATATCGCTGGCACCTGGGTGGCTCAGTCGGTTGAGCGTCCAACTTCGGCTCAGGTCATAACCTCACGGCTCGTGAGTTCGAGCCCCGCGTCGGGCTCCGCGCTGACAGCTCGGAGCCTGGAGCCTGCTTCGGATTCCGTGTCTCCCTCTCTCTCTCTGCCCCTCCCCCAGTCTCACTCTCTCTGTCTCTCAAAAATAAAATAAAAACATTAAAAAAAAAATTAGAAGCAGACACTCGGAGAGGCAGTCCTGGGTCCAGTGAGACCCAATCAGACAACGCTTGTGAGATGGGGGGTGGGGCGGTGTCTAACATTCCCCCGGAAGAAGAAGGAGGTCTGCCACCCTCAATGCTGCTGGAAGATAGCCTGGGGATGAAGCTCCATGGGTAGGAGCAGACCTGAGAGGGAATTGCAGAGGCATGGGGCCAGAGCCTTGATGAAACCGTGCCTCAAGTCCACTTTCTGATTTCTCAGCCACATGAGCCAATAAATCTCCTTCGTTGCTAAGCTAGTGTGGGTTGGGTTTTGTTGCTGGAAATCAAAACCCTCCTGACCCAGGCAGACCTCCCTGCTCTCTCATCCATCCACCTCAGGCACAACCTCAGAAGCCACGGCCCTCCGCGGTGGTTTTTCCCTGGAGGTCTCTCACGGGGTCTGGCCAAGAGGCAACCGCACCATGCCCTCCATCTTACGTCAACAGTGAAGAGAGTCAATCTGAAATCCAGGAACTTTTCGGAAACATCCCCCTTCCTAGATGTGGTGGAGAGTGACAGAAGGTCCTGGAAGCTGGGCTTTCGGCACTTTCGTTGTTCCTTCTCACGCCTTCGAGGCCCTCCTAGGGATAACCTGATAGACAGAATTCCCTGGTTCCATTCACTTGTTTCATAAGCATTTACTAAACCCCTGTGTGGGCTGCCCCATCAGGGGTCCTGGGCAAACAGAGAGGGGTGAGGAGCCAAGGACGAGCTGGAGCGGAGGGCCGAGTGATCTGGGCAGGGGGCAGGGGGTGAGGAACGGCTAGGAGTGTGGGCCCTGAATTCAAACAGTGGGTGTTCTTGGGCAGGTTACTCTGTAGTCCCCTGCCTCAGTTTCCTCATCCGTCAAGTGGCATGTTTGATATATATTTAGTAAAGACTCAACAAGCATTAGCTTTTATCATTCATCAGTAATTTTTATTATGATCAGATTCTTTTTTAAGAAAAGGGACTGAGTAAACCCCACTCAGCTGGATAGCTTGGGCCTGAGGACCCCCTCCCTTGGAATGCAGGAGTTCAGGGCTGAAGGGGTGACTAGGCTGATGGGGCTTAAGGCAAACTCCAGAGACCAATTCCAACTCGTGAGATTCCTAAGAGGAAGAATGGAGGAGGGGCCCTCCCTTAGTCCCAGTTAAGTGCAGAGAACCGTATCTCAAAGAGGGAAGGACCCTTCTGGGGCAAGGATTCGACCTTTCCACAACTCCATTCAGCCACCCAGAGTTTGCTCAGAGGCGCTGTCATGGGCCTGGGCCAGGGCCAGGAGCGGAGATGACAGAGAGCTTCCTGTGTCCACTGAGTCCTCAGTCTCCTCTTGGCAACAGAGAAATGATAGTGCTGTGGCACACAAGTGCCTACTGTCACTCGGGAAAGGCTGAAGGGACCCCCGTTAGAGGAGGAAGGAGATTAGCTCCCATCTTGGAAGCTTCCTGGCAGAGGCAGGGTTTGGACTGGAGTTTGGGAGAAGGGTAGGTCTGATATGTCAAAGGGGACAGCTTTGGGGAGGAAAGACTTAAGCGCAGGGACGGGGGTGCAGCCCACACAGGACACAGCGCTAATGGACAGGCAGGAGGGACAACGGGAGGGGATGAGACCTCATGCGGCCCCAGCCTGCTCTGCCACCTGTCAGGCAACTGTGTCCGGCACGCAGGGGCGGCTTCTGGAAGCAATTGTCCCGAAACGTGAGTATCGCTCAGAAGGACAAGGAAAAGCCAAGGGAAGTGTCAGGAACTTGGAGGGCCCCTCAACAGATTTCCTCATTGGTTTGATTCCAACCCTCGTTTCCTTCTGTCTGACTCCTGATTAGAAAGTTCAGGCATTTGGGATGTGTTCTGACCAGTTATGAGCCATGCTTTGTTAGCTGAGTGACTGAACGGAAGTGTGAGATCAGGTAGCCTCAAAGGCACATTCCTGGCTTGAAAACTCTGCCCCATGAAGGAATCTGTTGCCATTCAGATGATGTTAAAGGCAAATTGAACGGGGGACACCCGGGTGGCTCAGCTGAGCGTCCAACTTCGGCTCAGGTCATATCTCGAGGCTCGTGAGTTCAAGGCCCACATCGGGCTCACTGCTATCAGCACAGAGCCCATTTCAGATCCTCTGTCCCCTTCTCTCTGCTCCTCCCCTCTGTGCACGCTCTCAGAAAATAACTAAAACATTTTTTTAAAAAGGCAAATGGATTGGAGAATTGATTGCAAATGACAGAAAACATGTCTATTCCTGCATCTGGGGATATAGGCCATTTTAATCATCGCACATAGCAATGGCTGGAGGGAGAGAATGGTTCCCCAGAGGAGAGTCCGGATCTAGTATAACCGGAAGGGGGTGGTGAATGTTGGGGAAGTAGGTGTGAATCTTGGGGAAAAAAATCACCAACTCCAGAAAAAAGCAGGGCATCCGGGTTCCTCCCACTGTTACCACATGCACACCCAAAATGTTGAAAGAACAGCAGAACAGGTAAGCGAGTAGGAAAAAAAAAAAAAAAAAAAACTAGATACTTAATTCTGACTAATCGTGCCGGAGAATTAAAAAAGGCAGGGATGTTTTTGAAAGGGGGTTCCGTGCAGCTAGAACTAAAGAGGTAGGAAAGGAAAGGGCAGACAGTCTCCCCTCCCTTGGGAAAGCTGTCCTGGGTCTGACTTAGGCAGACAGGCTTCTTCTAAGCGTCTGTCCTAGACCACAAGCTTTGTTAGAAAGCCCTCTACCGAGAAAGCTGAGGGGGCACTCAGGGCCCTGCCGGGGAGGTGGGATTGCCCCAGTTGGGAAGGGGGTCATGTTAAGTGCCCTGATAAGTAGTCAGCTTCAGCTCCAGGTACCCAGAGGCTTTTTGGGAAGAGTTTACTTGATGCTCAGATCCTATGTTTGGAATGAGGGGTTGTGAGCCCTTGGAGGAGGCGTTACCCACAAATCCCAACCCTGGGGCGTCCACCAGTGGCTAAGCAGAGGTCTCCAGGCCCATGGGGAGCACTGTAGGTCTGAGGAACCAGCCTTGGTCCCTATTAAAAGTATGTTCTAGAAATATCCTCAGGTCTCAAGAGTGGGTCTGGACCCAGCTGCCCTGCTCAGCGATGCCACTGAATAACCAAGGGTCCCCAGGCTTCCCGGTCATCTCCGAAGCCTGTCAGCCACAAGCATCAGGCTCAGGAGATAGAACTCAAGTCCAAGCCCACAAACTGAGCCTTGCAGGACCCCCAGTAGCGTCTTCTGAAGAATCGCCAGCTCCCACCAAGCAGACTCCAGCTACTAATCAAATCAAACTGCTGATGTTGAAAATCACCCATTTGCTGCTGGTGCGATCATAGCGACTCCTTTAAAAGCGCCAACCGCCCACTTGGATGCCTCGAATTTTCAGAATTGCAGTCGAGGCCTCAGGGCCCCTGATCTGGAAAACTGCTGCACAGCTAGGCTCCGGGTTCCGGTCACAGCCTGTCTCCGGCCAGCTGTGCTACCTCAAGTGAGGCAGTCACTGAACATCTCTGACCTGCGGTCTCCCCCTCTGCTTACAGCCTGGCTACCTGCCCCACTTCCTCCTTAGAGGCCTCGTTGGTTCCAGCCACCATAAGGTGTCAACTCAGTTTGTCTAAACTCTGTGGCATGTTATGTTTACAGGATGATAACGACTCCAAGAATGCTCTGGTCCCATCTCCAGGAAGCACATGGCCCGTTCTCTAGTAGAGAGAACCAATCCTTTGACATGTCTACCCAGGCCCCTTGTGGCCTCCCACGGATTCCTCCAGTTGAGGACACATTCTGTGGCCACAGACGCAGACAAAGGGGACCAGTCCTCAG